TAGTTTAAACGTATGGGCAGGAATAATTGATAAATTTTTAATTGGACCTTTTTCTCTTGATGGGAAACTAACAGGCACAAAATACGTTGATTTTTTGAACACGCGTTTACACGAAATATTAAAGGAAGTTCCAGTCGATATTAGATTATTCGTATGCGGTTTACGCATAATGGAGCTCCGCCGCATTTTAGCCGAGTGGCTAGGCAATTTTTAAATCAACACTTTGCAAATAAATGGATCGGTCGTGGAGGTCCTATTACGTGGTCTGCTCGTTCTCCGGATTTGAATCCATTAGATTTTCATTTGTGGGGACATTTAAAATCTATTGTATATGTAACATCGATTGAACATGCTGAAATACTACGAAATCGAATAGAGCAAGGCTTCCGACAAATTCGAGAAACACCAGGAATGATAGAGAGAGTAACCAGATGAATGACAAGACGCGTGCAAGCTTGTCTTTAAATGCAAGCTGGTTCATTTCGAGCATCTTTTGTAAAAGTAATTAAAACAGAAAATTCATTATATCTCATAAACGAAGACAGGTAGGACATATATTTATATGATTGTTTTTTCATTATTTTTAGGCGTACAATCAACACCCGAAGTGGGTCCCACAAGTTACGAAACACCCTGTATATAAAATCATCTATATAAATATAGGTAATATATTTATTAGTATATTAATTTATATAAATATAGATGATTTTAGTCATAAATCAGCGATCGAAATTCGTTGATAATGATTATTACTAAATACGATCGTTTATAAACGAAATCAACTTCATTCAACGGTATAACGATTACAGATAACCAGAAATTGACATTTTCGCTAAAAAAAATTGATACTTCAACTTGAAAAATTGATTTGTTCCGATTGAAATTTCACTCGAACTGAGAAATCGAGTCTCTCGAATTTTTAAGAAATTAGAAATAATTCCAAGTGAGATTCGAGCTCCCGTAAAACTTCCAAACTTTTAGATATAGCTCGTTTGTTAATGGTTAAATTTGAAACTCGACGACGTCGTCGAAGTTCTAAAGCCGTCTGTCTAAAGAATCTTGCCTCGCTCGATCATCCAGTAGATACCCTCGATCACCGGCGTCAAAAACTCGTCGAATGAAGTATCGTACGTGCGGCATCGACGAGTTTGAGCCTGTGTTCTTAGATCAAGTGCAATTTGTTAGACGACCGGCAAGAGAGTGAGAGAGAGAGAGAGAGAGAGAAAAAGCACGGCTCTCGACGTCGCGAAGAATGCCACGTACACACGAGCTCCATTCAAAAACTAACGACTCGAGGCCGGTGCTGCATCCCACACAGGTGCGTGTTCGCTGTGCCCTTTCCCTCCACATCTGTCTCTCTCCTCGCGCGTTTTGTCATCGCGAGCTGTGCGCTGGCAACGCGCCAGAAACTTCGATTCGACCCGCCGTCGGTTCGTCGTACTTTGGGAAACAATACGATTCATTTAATTTCTATTAAGGCCGCGTCTCGCGTTTTGTCGGCTTCGTGGCGCCGCGGCCACTCTGTGTCTGGCTAGAGCACCGCCTATACCACTATCACGCCGCGTCGGCACC